CTGATTTAAAAATATTTTTTCTGGAGATGGAATAGATGCTACAATATTTTCTTTATCGGTGATAATCTGAAAGTAAATTATAATACGAGTATTACGTTATTGTAGATATCCGTGAAAAAATACTAAATGGGCATAAGTATTTAATCTACCATAATGTCATCACTATCAGCCGATTTTCCTTGCACATTGGTTGGTGGGTCTTTGATGTAAGCACTACTATTATTAAGATCATTCTCCTGGAAATAATAAATGCTAAGATTATAAAATTTGTTTTGTTGCTTAAAAAGAATAATAAAAATCTGAATTTGAAATCTAACCTGAGTACCTACTACAATTAATTTTTTCTAAAATATAATCTACTCTTTTCTTCATTCTTCAAATTCTTTCTTTATAATGAGTTACTATCTAAAATCCGAAATACAGAAAAAATTATATTTTTATTTATATTATATGTAATATGACTCATTAAACAAGACAACAAAACGATTTCGTATCTAGACAGACCCACGTCTAAAATATTCTGTGCGATTACAATGGTATTTATTACAAGAGGGACACAATTATAAATCAGTTTCTACCATAAACATTCGTTTCGTAACAACATATACCAAATGATGATTGCGTCTTCGATTCGTACATTTTTTTTCAATCTAAGAGTGATTCAATGACAAATAAGTCTCAGCTGTATAGAGAAATTTTAGTATGAAATAGACTCAATACAAAATAGGCCTTTACTTTATTAAAAATAGTTACATCCACATACCTTAATTTTTAATCTTGTGGCACCCTAATTCGTTTTAGGTCTCCACAATTACAAAAAAGTAACGACCTGCTCATGACACTCGCGGCACATTACTGAAAAGAATATAGTACTCTCTAGCCGAGACAAGAACGACGTCTTCATAGTAAAAAAATCAACCATAAATTTATTCATTTACATAAACTAGCGCCACTGTGAACAAGCACCAGATGAAAAATACGGGCGGGAATATTCAAATTTGCCATGAATTATTGTTGCTTGGATTACTAAGTAATTCTCTAAACTGTCATTAATGGGGTTATAGAGTTTAATTTAACCTTTAGATTCTTCATGTATTAATGTAACTACCTATCAGTTTGTTTCGCTATGAATAAATAAATCAAATAAGTATTTCTGATTTCAGGAATCTTTTTTGTGCATATTATATTCCTCACAATTTGGTTTATTTATATCTAAGGCACACACACAGGAGACATAATAAATGACATGAAGAAAATTAACCCATAACCCCAAAAATTATGCATATAGAGAATATTTACTTAACAAACCAAGTAAATGGAAACCGAAATGTATAAGGTAAATGCCAATGAAACAGCCAGAGTATATATTTTATCAAATCAAATCATTTATTTCTGTTAATGGGTTTTACAAAACACTAACATGTCAATACTTTTAAAAACTAGATGAGGCCAGTATTTCCTATCTGACTACCTAGAGAAGAAACACCGAAACAAACTCAAGGGTCAAAGTCTCTTTTAAAGTCCAGATATAAATTTCAAACATTCACAATGGATGAGCAATGTAGGCTCGTGTCTGAAATGACCTTTTGAAGAAAGTGTCATACCAAGCTTTTGTCGGTCTTCATTTAACTCAACAGTAACTTAGGATTCAACAATCCAAAAAGGACATTTGGCTAGGCCGCTGATAATACTCAAACTGTCAGACGAAGGTAACATCTACAACAAAACTAAATAAAACCCACATTGTTCACCCATTCACAATAAGAAAATAAATAAAAATAATACATCTACTTGAAACAACAGTACCAAGTGATGACACGTAATTATTCATTTCTTTCCTTTTTTTGACATTTAATGTTTTATTTTATATTTTTTACATACTGACATGATTACCTACTGACATGAAACATTACGTGTCATCACTTAGTATACAATACTTTGTTAAAAGGAAAAATAAGTAACTTAAATAATAGTGACAGCCTATGTCAAATCAATTACTTTTCTAACATTTTGTAGTATATTCATATAATATGATCATATGAGGTCAATGCATTGTCAGGGGAAAAGAAAAAAAATTATAATTAAAAATGTATCAGCAAAATTTGAATAGTGGAAAGTGAATTGCCAGACAACAGGTAAAGCTTACTAGAATGCAAACCATACATTAACGATTACATGAAACTCATATACAAGAAAAATGTGGAATCAGATTATTCCCAAGCCTTTTTATCTTCTAAGTAGTAGAGTAGTATCAATTATTTATTTCTTAATATTTGAATTTTTCTTTCCAAAGATTTCTTTTTTTCTTCCTCCTCCATTTGTCGGTTTGTTAATATTTTGTACTGCTTTATCACAATACAAAATGTGCTCATTTTAATATGGGTTTTGTTTTCATCTGCATGAATCCCACATTTATTTAAGAAACTGTAATCTAAGCATTCTAAAAGTATCATTATGTTTTTTTTAGTATCATTTACAAAACCATTTTCTTCAAGATAATTATCAGTAACTGTCGCAATACTTTCGATACATATTACAATATCCTTATTTAAATAATTTAAGGTATTTTGAGAAGCATTATACTCTCTGAAACTTGTGAACAAGTGTATGGCTTCAGGGTCATCTGTTAAAAATAACTTTCGGCAATTTTCACAGTCACTGTTTCTGAGTTTTTTAAAAATAAAGCCACACACACATATGCACAAGCTTGTGCTTCTGGCGTCGCCTGTTCGATTGCTTCAACTGCATCAGCTAAAATGACTTCCAGGTCTATATTAGCAGAATTTTCTGCAGTCAGATTTTCAATACCAGCATGTTGCTGTTGTTGAAAATCTGCCGTTAAAAACGTTGAAAGATTATTTTCTAAAATGGCAGTATCATCTTCACAATTTTTTTTTCACCTGCATGCCGTAAATTGGTTATAATAGCCGTTTTAAACCCTGCCACAAATGGTTCTATTGTGGGATTATAATTGGACCCACAGTTATATCTGATGCAGCCGAAACAGTTTTCTAACGGATCTTGATTCAGGCGACGCGTGGAAAGGCTCTTAGAGCTCCCGCAGACATACAATTGTAAGTTGGCCAACTATCGAACGACTAAATTGCGCACTTTTATAATTAAATCGAACAACTTTATTTGATTGGTTGCCAGCCGCAGACTTAATCGATTTAGTCCGTGACAGTGTTGCTAGCGCGGTGCGTGTGCGTGATAATGCGGAAAAAACCGCTCTAATTGCTTTAATAATAGAAAGAAGACGAAAAGAAAAGAGGACATTTTGGGTGCATCCCATATTAAGTGACAGATTATAATATGGGAAACATCATACTTTGCACTCTAAAATCAGATGTTACCCAGATAAATTTTTTTCATTCTATAGAATGAGTATTTCGCAGGGACTGTAATACCGATATTTCGCAAGTATCGATATCGGGTTATCGATATAAGTACTGATATTGCGGTATCGATTTATCGATATTGGTGTCAATATTTGATTTCAGTACAAAAATATCAATACTTATCGGTCAGTTTATCGGCATTGATACTGATACCAATATATCGATACAATAAAAATAAATTCCTCGTTCTCGCGTCTTATTTACTCTCTCTAACATCAACGGTCATAGGTAAGGTACGCGGTCATACGTAAGTACGTTCTGTTTGCGTGTGTTCAAATTGTTTAACGCGTATTATTATTTTTATATACGTATATTTATTTTTAAGTAATTGATGTGATTCCTGTTCAAACAAGTGATTATTCTTCAAGCAAGATGTCTGGTTTGTATCTTTAATTTATCTTTAACTAGCTTTTCGCCTGTAGCTTCGTCCGCGTGAATTACAGTTAAATTGCGTAACTTTTACCATCTTAAAGAAACTTTTTTTTCAGGATAAAAAGTAGGCCATGTCCTTTTCCGTATCCCTGAATATACTAGGTGTTACAAAAAGGGTATACATCCGAAGGGAGGTAAATCTACTCATGAAACTGAACAACTTTCTCCAAAGAAACACATACTTATCAAAATCTGAAAAAAATTCAATCACCTATACAAATTGTCTGGTCACGTGCCCAATTTTGTATGGGATATCAAAAAAATTTTTCGGATTTATAAGTACCCTTTTTGTAACATCCAGTATGTAATACAAGGAAGATCGGCTTGATAGTGGGGAAGGCCAGTGGGGATTTCCGGAATAACCCGAAATATAATTGGGTAACATTAATTACTACCCAATTATATTTTGGTTATTCTGGAATTTATTATATTAACTATATTATACATAATATACGATATATATACAAATAAATAAAATTGAAGTGTCTATTTGTAATTTCAAAATTACAGCTTTTTACCAAATACATATGAAAGTATATACGGTACTAATAACAAAAATACAATTTTTAAAGTTTTTGTCTGTCCGTCTGTTTGTTCCGGCTAATCTCAGAAACGGCTGGACCGATTTTGACGAGATTTTCACTGGCAGATAGCTAATGTCACAAGGAGTAACTTAGGCTATTTTTATTTTAGAAAAACAATTAGGGTTCCGTGCAAAAAAATTAAAAGCCCAAATAACACGCGGGCGAAGTCGCGGGGAACAGCTAGTTATATCATATTATCATATATTATATTTATTTAAGTAAATCACAGATTTGTTTTGTGTTCACCTTAACTTAAAAATCATGACTTTTACTGAAGTTGCTTATATTAAAAACGCCGACTACCTCTGTGGTCAACCAGGGTAAACCCCGATTTTCAAGGTGTCGCCGCTCTGAGGTCCCGGGTTCGATTCTCGGTAGGGTGAAGTTTAGAAAAACTACTTTTCTCAATTTTTCCTTAGTCTGAGTATTGCTGGAAGACGCCCCCAGTGTATCCGTTGTTCGGTACCTCTAATAACGACGTTCTTCGAAACCTCTTTGAGACCGACAATGTGTATGTTGTCAGGCGCATTAATTAGTATTTGATTAAAACACCAGTTCAATTGACATAACAAACTTTTTTGCAGGCATGAAAAGGAAATTACCCATTGTTTTTGACTCGGAAGACACTAAAATGTCCCAAAGTATTTTGAAATCGACAAATTACTATGGAAAATTGACAAAAGTATCGGAAACGAATAAACCTATTCCAGTATACGAACCAGAAGATAATGAAGATATACGAGAAAATATACCAGAAGATATACGAGTAGAAGAACCGTTGTCACAGAGTTTTACGCCGCCGAAAAATGAAATACTGGATTCGTCAATAAATCAATTAGCATCTTCACCTTTAAAGCATAATTCTGAGGAACCAGTGGACTGTGACTCACCTCCGGAACATGATTGTGAAAATAAATTGTCATCGGCGCACCAAATTCCAAATTCCGTTTGCCCAGATTGCGTACAATGCGAAATAGTGGACAATAGAAATTATCATTTTTGCCAAGTACTGATGACAGAGTTGCAATTTTTACACCTTTGTATGAGAACTGTTGCCTATCGCCATATTTTAAAAATTGTAGATGGACTAAAAGGGAGCCATAGTAAGGACGACATAAAAGTCATCCGCGTCAAACCTGGAAATCTTAATTAAAACAATTATGTTGTTAAAGAGTGTTATTAAACACTTCAGGAATACTTCTGCAGTCGTGCCGCATAAGACTGCTGAGCACAACTTTTGAAAAGGCAAATTTTTTAAATAAAATTGTAAATGAAACAAAGTGTTTTAGTATATTTTGACATTTATTGGTACTATTCATCTCAAAAATTTGACAAAAATTCAAAACGTCAAACAACAACTATTTATTGAAATTTTCTTCAGAAATGAAAAAAAAATCCAAGCAAAACATTTTAGTCAGCTGACAAATTTGTAAGGGAAGTCTAAAAATTATTTAATTTCTAAAGAAAATTTTGATAAAGTTGCGAAATATAAATTTATCTACTACTTATAATTACTTAAATTCGATAGATAAAAACATGATTATATAAGGGGGTAAAGGACGGATTCCCGAAAATTGTTGATTTTGATTAATTCTGTTTATTTTTGCCAAAGAAAACGTATAATTACTAATACTAAAAGAATTGTTATTTTTGTTAAACTTTTTTCTTATTTTCTTTTATAATATGATTAGCAAAACTATCTGTTAATAAGTAACAGAAATTTTCTGACAAATTATTTGGCTTCTTTTGTTAATTATTTTTGTTATGTATTTTATTATTCCGAATAAACATAATATCTTCTATTAAATTGCTTTTTAAATTAAAACGGTACTTCGAAACTACGAATTTCAAAGAAGAAAATAGCCGCTCCACGCTGACTTGAGTGGCTGGACAAGATAAAACAATGCATGCCAATTTATAGAGACGAGGATAAGTGTTTTTTTTCGACCCCCAGTGATTTAATATGTTTTCTGTCGACTTAAGAAGAGGTTCCTTAAGAAACATAGCAATTTAGTCATCCAAGTTTTTGAATGCATGTGGGCGCATGTTATCAGTTCCTAGTCTTATAAGGTTCTGAATATCACTTTGAGCCTCCACATACTTTGTGCTAAGAAAATCTTCTAACAAAGTTCGAGCACTATCTGTTTCTGTTTGTGAATCAGACGTAGAAGAAGAAGGAGGCAAATTTTCTTTGTCAGTGTTCAAATATTGCAAATGAAGATGTAAATCTAACAGTTTTCTTTTTGCATTAAGTTGCTGATGTTCAGCCAGTGTTGCATTGATTCTACCATCCAAAAAAATAGCACAAATAAATGCGTCGTTGTTAAGTAACATGTTTTCCCTATTTTCCATATAACTTACTAACAAAATGCTCAAGTCCGTAGCAATGGTTTTTAACTTAATTTTGCACAACAACCAATGTAAATAAAAGTCACTGATTGTTAGCTGCTCCTGTTGTAATATTTTTGATAGTTCTTTAGCAGGCAACAAAGAATCCATATAATTCTTTAATGAATTCCAAAAAGTTTCCGTCAGGTGTAAGCTGGAATCAACGGAATTTTCACAAATTTCTTTGGGGTCTATTAATCTCTGAATCATATCTAGAGTTGAATTCCATCTTGTAGGACTATCAAAAATAGCTTGATTTTTTCCCGATTTGGATATAATATTAGAGTGTATTTGTGTCCGTAACTTTTTAGCAGTTTGTCGAGCATCGTCAATCACTTGCTTAATATCAGCACCATCGCAAGCATCTAGTACAGCTAATTGTAATGTATGTGCAGCGCATCTTACTACTGCTATACTTCTCTGCTGAGTTGTATTTTCATGACAGTGCATTGACAGTGCTGAGGTAATGGTTTCAGTGAATTGCTCTTCTCTTTCGGTGTCAAATCCCGTGTCACCGTCATAATAATCAGTGTCCGAATCCGAATACGCTGAGTGATTTTCAATATCAACTGTTGAGATAATCATGGAATCCGAACTTTAACCTTCAAAGACGACAGCGTCTTCCATTTCAGTATTTGCGTTTGCACTTTCTTCGCAAACAGCATCAGCAGAAACGTTTCGATTTTCTTCGTTGATTAATCTACTCATCTTTATCATATTTGATCCATTATCAGTTGTGAAACTGTATATGTTTTCTAGACCAATTCGGAATCGTTGAAGAACATCCAAAACTTGGTATTTCAAATGCTCTGAAGTATGTCTTTCAAAAAGTTCAATCATGGCCAAATGTTTTAATATAATATCTCCATTTTCTATGTATTGAGCATTTATTCCCATAAAGCTTCTCAAAGAAAGTGATGCAATGTCTATTTTTATGCAAATCATTTTGTTCTGGAGTTCTTTGGCTAAATCATACCGTAATGTTGCAGCAGTTTCTATGACGTTGTTTCTAATAGTTCGAGAACTCACTTTTATATTGCAGTCAGGTATTAAAGATAAAATATTTTGGAATGCTTCATAATTGAGAAGTGACAGAGGGAGCCCATGATTACAAATAAGTTTCGTACACTCTCTGGTAACAATTTCAGAATTAGGTGTCAATTTTTTTGTATCCCTTTGTTTCATATTAATTTCTTGTACTTCTTTATACTCTTTTTTATGTATTTTAAGATGTTTAAGAAGATTGGAACTGTTGATACTCTGTAACAGAGAAGACAACATGAGATGAGGATAAAGTTAACTTTTCCAAGAAAAGACAAATAAAGGTAGTATTTGTGGAATATGAGATGTACCTAACATTCATATTATTTAAAAGCCTAGTAATAATAGTTAATAAGCATTTATTTTGACACTTCGGAAATCCCTACCAGCCTTCCCCACTGTTGGGGATTTAATCCCCTACTAATATGAAATTAATTAATTTTGTATCATTTTTTAAACCTTAATATATTAAAATTAATTTTTCATACTAATAGTTAGTGGGGCTTGAAATCCCCACCAGTGGAGATTTTCGGAATAACCCTTGTTAGACAATGTATTTCTTAAAAAAAATATTTTTCAAAAACGTTTTCAACACTAACAAACTAAGCAACTTTAATTACTTAATATTTAACATTTTAAAATTTAATATATTACATACAGTCATTTTAGGTACTATATTTTTTTTTATAAAGAAATAGGCATTTCTTAAAAGTATTTTATACACAAATTAGGGTAAACAATAATTATGTGAACGACTCAGTGAGTTTCATGCTATAATTTATAGTACAGTGTAATAAAAGTTTCTGAAGATTAGTGTATTTTTCGTATAAATCTACAAGAAATAATATAAAGTAAGGCCGATCTTGTTTAGCGGCTCACGTAGGTAACTCCTTATCACTTTCCTAAGTAAGTACAGAATACATAATAGTACAGGTATAGGCATAAGAACCTACAAAGAAAAAATACCTACATAGGTATTTTTTTCTAGCTTATGTAAAAAAAATGCATCGTATGTAACAAAAGGTTATCTCCATCGTGAAGTGATGGTAAGCGCAAGTACTTACATCGAGTGACAGAGGCCTGGTATTATCTACTATTTTGAAAATAACTCTAAATGTGTACCTACTTTAATAAGAAACTATATTTTACTTACATTCCCCAAACGTTTATTTAACTTAACATTCCACGAACTATTTTACTTACTGGGTCGTGTGCTCGTGTGCACTACTTGCCTCCAAATTACATCGCAAGACGACCTACTTTTAATAGGTATAACATGCAAATTTTAGAATTTCTGAAGTTTTTTCTAAGTAACCAATAGTATTTAGTATTTAATTTATCTGATGAAATGAATACCTAATGTGAGAATTTTATTAGGAAGGTAGGTAGGTAATAGGTATGTATGTATGTAGACTAGTACTTAAATAACAGTTTTAAATATACATAACACAATAGCAGATGATTCGAAGAATTTAACCACAATGTATCTCACAATACGTATTATATTAAATTAGATTGCTTAATGCGATTGCCAAGTCAATCTATATATTTAAAACATAAAAGACTATTAAAATTGATATGGTCACCATAAAATGTTGTTAGATTAGCTAATTACGTAATAACTTAAAACAGAAGGGCCCTTAAGTAGGAACTGAATAAATTAACCGACTTGGTACATGGATCTCACAACTTTTACGGTACAAGAACTGAGTTGCGAGACTTGGTTTTTTTACAAGTTATGTTTTTAATGGTATCTCATTTCTTTTTGTATATAAGATAGTCCTAATTTTTTACCTTTCCGGTACCTTCTACTTCTTGAGTACCAACAACGTACCTATGTACACCTGTAATACATATACAAGTACACAGATTCATTCACTTCAAATGTAACTTTGTAATTCTATATATTTATATGGGATGACAAAGTTATTTATGCAGTTAGTGTATCTAAAAAAACTGGACAGAAATTAACAAATGTTTTAGTTTTTCCTTGATCACACTACTTATATTCTAAATTTGAATCTTCTATGTCTGCTAGAAGTGCCTTAGAGTTTTGATGATCGGTCAGTCAGTGAGTGACAAAATTAAGAAATTTTGACTGGTTACAATTCTTAAAATACTGGTTCAAATTGAATGATGAATGATTTATACAATGCTTACTCGGTTACTGAAAATGGCCTGAATTGCTTCGAGAAAAGATGGTACGGCCGTGCCGCTTTTTTGCTCGACTTGGCGGGGGCACTGCCGTGCCCCCAGATAAAGGCAGCATGTATTCTACACAACTACGTTCGCTCAAAAGATGGCATAACATTTAAGGATACATTGTACGAATGTCCTTTGGACGAATATCGTCATACAAAAAATAACAGGGGATGCAATATCACAAATGGTGTAAATGTTCGACAGTATCTGTCATCTTATTTTCTTCAACCTCATGGATCTGTTCCCTTTCAATATGATAAAGTATACAGTATTATTTTGTTTTTCATTAAGAAAAAAATGAAAGCCTTGAAGGCACTCATTTATATCTTCTTCACAGTTAGATTTTTTGGATTGTGGTAGATTATAATTGTTTAATAATAATGCTTTAAATGCCCCTTCAAATGAAATTGTGTTAGTAGGGGCAATATTTCTGGCTCCATAGCTTCTGATGTTCCCAAAAAAGTTTTCTACAGGGTCCTGATTAAAATTACGTGTTAATACTGTATCATAACCGTATTTACCAAACAACTTTGCAAATTGCTTCCATGCCGTTGATAGTCTTAATAAAATTTGTCAAGTAACCTTTTTTTGAATGAATCTTACAGTTTTTAAAATTTCTTTAGCTTTTAGCCACAGTTGGTGATGAGGTGAGTGCCTTTTAATTGGTCCTTTATAAATTTTACCATTGGGTATGCTAAATGTACTACCATGGAGGCTGTCAAACAAATTATCAAGTAGCAAAGTTATTTCAATTAATTGCTTACAGTCTACTGGCAAATCACCTCTTGTTATCAAATGGTCAGTAACCACAGCCACATTGTGGCTGAAAACCTGTGTTGCAGATTTGACCCTCATTTTATTTATTTTCTCAGGGACAATATGTTCTTCTGTTATTTTATTTAAGAGCCTATACTACCTCAGCTCAAATTCTAATTTCGCCCCCACTTCCCCGCGCCATTCGTTCGCACACTGCTCGCGGTCACGCGGGAACACGAGGTCAAAGCGATTTTGTTAGAGGAAAATAAACTATAATCGGACGCGTAGTAAGTAATAAAATTATCAATCATAATTTACTATTAACTTGTCATTATATGAACATAAAATTATATATCGCAAATTTAATTTCATTGTACATACTAAGGGCTACTCAAACTAAATTTCTAGTATAAGCTGACTCTTCATTGTACTGAAAGCCTATACAATGCAAGATCAGCTTATACTGGAAATTCCAAATACTGGAAGGATACGCCCATTGGTTTAGCAGGTAGTAAGTTTGCGTTTTGTAGTTTTCGCCGTGTATGTATGTAATGTGACAGCCGTTGGGTATGTAGTTATGTAGGTAGTAGGTCTATGCAAGTACCTACGTTTCCGAATGCATGATTGTAAGAATTCATGATATCTGTGAATAGGCTATTTATTTCGTGTCGAAGTTTGCGTCTTTAGAAATGTGTTCAGATAAGCACTTTACTGATCTAGTGCGTGAGTCGAGTTCGACTTTGAACGGCGCCGATCCCGGCCGCCCAGCTGATGAACAGCGATCTGTGCCGGAGACGGACCGTAAGGCATCTTTTCCATTACACGGTTGTTCAAACGTACGGTGTGTAAGCCGTAGGGTTGAAAAAACGTGCTAGCTTGTACATGATACGGCAAAATCACCGCGCGAGACATTGGTAAGTACTGGCTAGTAGCGCTTTTTACTCGGGCTGTGTAGGACGTGCTGCGTCATGAATTTTCTTACGAAAAAAAAGATTATAGTTGCTTATTACATATATAGGAAAAAGAAAATAGAAAAAAAAAGGGAAGTAAGGTTTTGGATACATCCGATTTTAGAAAAAAGGGAGGAATATGGCGCGTTTCATACACTTGTCAAGAATCAATTGAGAGAAGATGAAGACAAGTTTTACAATTATTTTAGAATGCAGAAAACTACATTCGACAACTTGCTCCAAAAATTATCCCAGGAACTAAAACATCAAGATACTTTTATGCGAGAGAGTATATCGCCCGCAGAAAGATTGGCTGTAACTCTGAGGTAAGTAGGTACAAAATTAAATGACATATTTTAGTTTAAAATTGTTTATTGCACACAAACAAAATTATTACATGTAATTGAATTTTAATAATTATTAATTTAAGAACAAGTAAATCAAAAAATACACTACGCTGAAAATGCTACTCAAGTGCGGTACTAAAATCGAATTCGTCTTCAATAGAAACTTGAGAATCTGCCGAGATACTTTCCGCATTTACACTATGTACAGATAATTGTGATTCGGGTCGGTAGTGGATTGGCTCTAAACCAGAACCGTGTCCAAAATCATGAGAAGACGTCTGTGGACGACTTATTCCATAGCTCGATCTAGCAGCTGTAGAATATCCATATGTTGACGATTGCGCATTTGAGGATGCTGTACCACTTAAATATCCTTGATGGCCTTGATCCCATTGGTTTCTTGATGTAGGTATATACTGAGTACACTGTCTTTGTTGAATATTTTTAATTATTGAAATTACTTGAAACTGAAAGTCTATCATATTTTCATCACTGAACTTGTCAACTGTATCAGCGATTCCCATAAAAAAGTTCATACTACGGCTTTTCTTTTTCTCATCTCGTTCTGCTGAATCCATAAACTTCATAAACCTAATGTCAACTTCACTTAGTTCATTTTTTCTTTTTTTTTTAGCCCTTTGCGTCTCACTCCGTTCAGTGTATCCCGAGCTTGATTGATTCGGTACTGCACTATCAAAATTTTCATTACTGAGGCTAGAATCATGAACATGTTCAGTCATGTTAGAATCGGTCTTGCGATGCTCAACATTTTTTTTAGGAACATCATTTCATCATAGAACATATATTTTCTTATTTTTTTTGCTGAAGAACCAGACTTACATTCATTAATTTTTTTGTCATATTTTATCCAGCTATCTTTCATATTGGTCCACTTCTTCATCACCATTTGCCCTGAAAATAAATAAATAATAATTATTAAATTCAAAATTTATGAAAACCCCCCGACCTAAACTGAATCGACCCCGACCTAAAATGGGGTTTTAGTATTTGAACCTGAACCGTTTTGTTTTATATTTCAGGTATCTAGCAACAGGAGATACCTTTACTGACCTATACTACAGCTATAGAATTGGAATAAAAACCATAAGTTGCATCGTACGTGAAGTATGCCACTACATTTGGTTAGAACTGTATAAAGAATATATGAAAATGCCATCTAAAGAAGACTGGCTACACATTGCAAGCAAATTTCAAGAATCTTCCAACTTCCCGCTGTGCTTAGGAGCGGTCGATGGAAAACACATCAGACTTATTAAGCCAATTGATAGTGGCTCGATGTTTTTAAATTACAAACATTTTTTTTCTATAGTTTTGATGGCAGTAGTAGATAGCGATTACAACTTTATATTTGTTGACGTTGGCGCCTACGGAAAGGAGTGTGATTCCAGTGTGTTTAAAGAGACCCCATTTTGGAAAAATTTAACAAACAACGGATTAAATCTACCCGATGCAACACGTTTGCCTGGAATTGACTACGATTTGCCATATGTGTTCGTTGCGGACGAAGCCTTTGCTTTGCATTATCACTTGCTTCGTCCATTTGGTGGTCATCAGCTTGATCAATTAAAACGTACATTTAACTACAGACTCACAAGAGCGCGAAGATTTGTTGAATGTGCGTTTGGCATTTTATCCAATAAATGGCGAATTTTTCACCGGCCAATGAATGTGTCCATCGATTTGGCAGTTGATATTGTGAAAACATGTTGTGTTTTGCAAAATTTTATACATAAGCAGGAAAACTTTCAGTTTCACAATGCGAGTGAAAATGAGTCCACCCTTGATTCAGAATCGGAACTAATCCAGTTACCTATCACGAATGCAGTTCGCGGAAGTTTGGCGGCTAATGAAGTTCGCAACAGATTTGCACAATATTTTGTATCTAACGAAGGTCGCCTCTCCTATCAAAACAACTATGCATAAGTAAAAAAATAATAATTAAATATCTGTAACTTACCAAACTTGTTTTTCTCATCACCACTTAAATCTTCAAATGTGGGCTGGAAATGAATAAATATTTCTTTCCAGGAATCATATTTAAGCCGCTTATTTTTATAATCGTCGATGGTCTTATCCCATATTACAGGCCTTTCTTGAATCAACGTAATTAATAATTCTTGATTTATGTTCATTTTATAATAAAATCGCGAAACAGCGTATATAAGCGGTCACGAATCCGTGCGTACGTCCGGCACCGTCGACACACCCCGATAGACTGCCATACAACACTGGTGAAAATCACGCCGTGCGTAGACGCGGCGCGCCGAGGGGCAGTCACGGCGCACGCGGCCGCGGCGCCGTGCCTTGGCGCCACCGTGCATGTCGACAAGCTCATATAGTGATCCATACCACACTGACGACCGTGCCTACACGCGGCGAATTAACCGTAGATTTTCACGGCGAGAAACCGTGTAATGGAAAAGAGGCCTGAGACGTGGCAAACCCTTCCAATGCATCTTTTTGATTATTATAAAATATTTGTGGAGTCAAAGACATCTCATCAAATATAAGACTGCAAAGTCGATCAGGAGTTTCCTTTTCGAGTACAGTCTTTTTAATTTTTTCAAATAAAATGGGATTAATACCAGGGCACAATTTAATTTGACTGAGCAACTGTTTCATTGCTTTTGATGAGGGCAATGTAAAATATTTTTATAATAATGAATAGGCTTTTGGACTTTTTTTATACATTGATAATGCAAGGATTTTTTATCCATTGTAAATCGTCTACCTTTGGATTTCTTTAAACATTGCATCTGCATATGGACAAACAACTGGGCAGGTTTCCTCATATTTTTTGACAACTTGCTGGAATGCTGTTTCCTTAGCTAATTTCGCAGCATTTGCTAGCCTCGCCTTGAAGGATTGCCCTCTCTTCTTTAAACGGCTTATATCCGACTGCAAGTATCTGATTTTTTTTCGCTAAAGGTTTAATTTGGACATAATTGTATGTCAATGTCCTCACAGAACCTGAAAGTTTAAAATTTTTATTAGTTTTTTTTAAGCATTAAGTTCCACTACATGGCAGCTTCATTTTAAAATTTCATTAATCATAATTGATATTAACTGGTAATAAGGAATCAAAACAATTAAGATGATTTTATTACATTATTATTATTTTGTAACTTAAAAAATATATAAAATGTAAATTATATTTTTTGATTAAGTATCACCCATATTTTCAAACTTTTGTGTTTTAGTGACTAAGTAATAGTAATATTGTGTACCTTTTGCAAATGTATTTCTTGTAGAACTGCTAGCTGCGCTATAATTATGCTCCATTATTACAGCAGGTGCAATACCACGAACTGTGCCTGAAACAAATTCATGCGGAATCGGTATTACTAAAAAATAATAGAACATCCCTGGGAACTTTCAATAAATGAACTACACACAACAGCAAATGTAGATGACTTTTTTCTAATACTTAGAATTTTATTTTCAATGCATGTAACAATAATTTGAAATGTTTTATAAAGTGAGTCTTAAGTTTGTCTATTCTATTATTATCTACACAACAAAATGATAACATAGACAATTAGTTTTGGTGTTGACTATACATTATTAGTACTGGGATGCATTAAAATAGCTTATTTAGTCCAACAAAGAAATTATGCCGAAGATTTTGTAACTAGACTACAAATGACAAAATTGTAAATTAATATTATTTCTGAGAATAATTTTTAAATAGATTTTTCTTATTTACCTGTAACTGCAGGAGTTAAAGTAGAAGTACGATTCAATGCACTGTGGGCTACAATTAAAGGTGGTTCTTGCTCCAACATGAAACTGGCAGATGGTCCTGAAATTAATATAAAGCTAACATTAAAACTTATATATAATATGCATTACTACACTTGCAACATAAACCCAATCTAGACTTTAAACTTAATATAATAAATATATAAACTTTAGTTTTATAAATTGTACTTAAATCCAATATCAGATCAACTAGAGAATAATATTCAACAATCATCCTATATGACCCATTTTACTGGAAAAGAGGCATTCCATCTTAATCCTCACGGGTGACAATGCATCTGCATTTTGATTTTTTATTGAGGATAAATGTAGATGTCTATGGGTCACAGCAACCACTTACCATCAGGTGGACTGTGTGCTCGTTTGTCACCCTATCCTATAAAAAAATGTTTTGGCAAGACGCGAATACTAAATGTTTAAATGAAACTAGTTTTACTTAAAGTAAAAAAATAGTGTCACTTAAAATTGCAATTAACAATTTCATAGGTGCCGGCGGGGATCAAACTCGGGTTGCTCGCATGCTATGAAACTTCCAGCAAGCACTAACCTTCATTTAAAAGACTACGGCTCTTATTGCACCACAATTTGAATTTTTTGCATCTTTCAGTTTGCTGCTAGGCTGTAGCGGTGAAAACATTTGTTATTGTTATTATTGATGTGTGATAGTGATTTATGTATACCTGTATTTGATGCATGTGAAGTTGAAGTTTGGCAGGACCCAATATCAGATACCGTGGCAAGTGTTTCTGAAATTATTAATAAGAAAAGTAAACACCAACATAGTCAAAAGCAGCAGTTGTCTAAATATGAAGTAATAATTGTTTGTATGGTAACTAAAGTATGGAATTATATATAAACTTTGAAATTTATCAGCTTAGTTTTGGGGTTCTAATGCTTGATCATTTAGTCATTTATTGTTAAATTTCAATTTAATTTACTTGTAACACTTGGCACAATTCTCAATAACTGTGAAAGAGCATTATATAGTGCTATCAAGAAAGGCTTATTTAACCCTTCTTTGCATTATTTCTTAAAATTTTTTAAAATAAATCAGGGTGATGTAATTAATGCTCTAGATTAAAGGAAAAATATTTAAAAAAATCCTAGTGTAAATAAAAATATGTATTATGTAAAAAACAATATGATGGAAATTTACATCATCATGCATTGTCACATATTTAGCTCAGTACTAAATAAATAAATAAAATATTGTTTACTCAATCTTCTTTATTCTTTATGATAATTTAAAAAACAATTATTATTTTTATTTAAGCACAAATTGACGCCACATTTAATACACGAAATTGTGGAATAGCCTTTACATTTGGGAAATTTGCACCGGAGTGACCCACCTACTTTTGGCCAATGTTCAGCACCATCTTTTCTTATGTCTTTTGGAGGTGGTGGAGCTGGAGAACCTTTTCTTTTTTTTAATTGTAGTTCTTCTTCTAGTAAACTGGTACTAGGACGCCCTCTTTTAGCTTCTTTGGTGGTCTCTCTGGTGCATAGCACTGTAGTGTGTGTTTAGTGTATGCTCATGTAGCTATATATATGATAGCCTAATAGACATTTAGAGTTAGTAATAAACCTACATTCACGACCGCTAGACGTTTAATTTATTCCTCGAACCTCCCAACATTACATGGCGACCCTGCCAGTCGGTGCGCGCGCGACTCCGCTCGCCGCGTGCACCGGCTGGCCACCGATAGTAAAATTATAACAAATACATAAAAAATCGTTAAATAAAAGTTATGACACATGAACATATGACACATTCCCGGATTGAGAAAATTAATTAAAGTCGTGTAGAGCCAGCCATCAAAAATTTATATGACTGTGAATAAATAGTTATAAAATAAAATTAAAACATAAGAAGTATAAAATCAAAAGGCAAAGATGCATCAAAAAGGAGAAGAGAGGATAAGAGAAATAACTTTTTCACTCCGGATAAGAAGAATATTGGTTGAGAAGATCTAAATTGAAGTACGCAATGGTGTTCACAAAGGAAATTTTACATTATCAAGATATATACACAATTTTCAAAAACTCGTAACAACCAAGGAAAACAAAAAAGAAGATATTTTTATTTTAAATTATCATGAATTTAATCGAGTGGCCAGTTTTTAGGAGGACTGAATTTTTCGTGTACTCCATATTACGTACCAGAAAACAAGAAGTATTTTATTTTCAAGAAACATAAAAAAAAATTAATAGAGACTGTAATGTAAAAAATATGCTTGATGTATTTACAAAATAATTACTGTATAAAATGCAAATTATATGATTATATTTTAAGGTGAGTGATTTTAATTAAGTATTTATATCTTTTAAAATTCTAATTTCATAAAATTAAAAATATAATAACTTTAGTCACCAATCATATATTTTTACCATTTTTTATTTTTTAACTCATTTTGTTCATTTAATAGACGGAACACTCTCAAAAGAAAGCTAGTGCTATTTGTATATTCATATCCTTATTATTTTAGCGTGATTACTTTAATTATCTATTTGGTTCTAAAATATTTAACATAACGAATGAAAAAGAGGAACTTTATTTTATTGATATCAGATAAAAGACAACTTATGAACAAATTTTGTAAAATATAAATTGATCGATGTATAATATTAATTTAAAACGCATCTTGACTTAATAATGCAAAAGAATATTAACTGATATATTTTATTAATAGTGAAAATTGCAATATTTTGTGTATTATTTAGAATTAATCGAAATGTAATATCATGTTTTCTTTGTATTAACATTGCGCATCAAATTCTAAACAATGCTGACGTGATCTTTTGCATATAAGGCATCGGAATATTACACGTAGTTGATACAGAATGATGCATTAATATACACTACTGTTGTCTCCTGACTTGCCTTCAAAATATTGACTTTATACTTTTTCATTTACTTTATCTGCGATTAAAATACATTATTCAATTGATAAAAAAGACTTGATAAAATAAACTATTATTTTGTAATACAAAACTGTATAGTAGTTCGATACTTTTTTTGAGATAATATGATTATTGAATTTAGGTAATGGCTCTAAACTCTAATGACTTATGAACTATTGAAGCTAAGACAAATATTAAACAACTTATATGACAAAAAAATGCGATGTGAATTAATGATGTCAAAACATAAAGTTTAT